ATACTGAGCGAGTTGCGGAATATGGATGTGGTTTTGCGGTCTGATGGAGACAACGCAATGGAAGTGAAGAAGATTTTGGAGAGATTAGAGGAGAGAATAGAAGGACTTGAGTCTGCACTTGATGCTCTTTTCAAGTCTCTTGTTCAATATAGAGTTTATTTGCTTAACATTCTTACAACACACTCTTAGTTTTGTTCTTTTTAGTTATTTAGTCTCTCTAATTGTACACAAAACATATATAGAAAATACATGCAGATTCTTATAGTAAAGAAACTAAATTGTCATCCGCTAATTAAAGATAACATAAATCAAACACTTCTTAATAATACCCAATAAATTCTTCTCAATAGGGCAAATAAGATATGTGAAAGAAAAACAAAAAAAAATGTGTTTGTACACTGTATGTCATGGTAATTGGTAATTAAATGGATGACGTGTCGGTTTATCATTGGTAGAAGTCCGTTCTTTCGTGTGCATATTTTTTATAATAAAGTTTTGAACCACCGATGATAAAGTCGTTGTCATCTATCATCAAGATCTTTAAATTTGGATGGGTCTAGGGGTTTTAGTTAATCACTAAATTATTGATTAATGAATAGAAAAGAGAGAGAGAGGAGTGGATCTTTGATTAGTGTCCCCACAAATCGACACAGGCAACTGTTCAAGTAAGAGGCCGACCCCATTCGAATTTTATATAGTACCTTAGTAATCATAAGACAATAATAATAAATAGTATACCTAAATCATTTTTGTTGCCTAGCTTGCGGTACTGTTTTCACAAATTCAATGCATGTATCTAGGTTGCATACTGTTTTTTTACTAATATATTATCTAAATTCAAATTTATTATTAATAATTAAACTAATATGTGTAATTGAAAATTTATTAAAAGTCTACATTAAAAAATATGATATTTTGTATAAAGCAATATTTATCATAAAATGGAAGTAAACAAAATTATTATGGTGAGAATGAATGGCCTATAATTTCCTTCTCTAGTAAGACAAATTTGGATCCAAGATTTGCATATGTGATATAGGTAGTTTAATTCTATATTCGGGTCTAAATGTTCGTTTATTATACAAAATCAACGTAGGTAAAAAAAAAAGGTAAAACAAACCGAAAATTGTTTATATTAATGATTTCATGACAATACAATATAC